TAGGCTCAGATTACAGGGACTAAAGGCTGAGTTTTGTTAGAACAGAAGAGTGAACTTATACTTATGTACCGGTACATGTATACATGTACGTTGGTCAGGACCTTACTTTTAAAGATTTTATTTTCCATTGCTTGAGCGTTACATGTATATTGTGGGGGCAAATGCCATAAAGTGTTGGGAAATTTGATAATGTTCACATATGATCTTATAGATTAGTACTGTGTGTGGGAGTGGGTGGATGTGCTTAAGGGATAGAATTTTGAACCGCAAAACATATGTAAAATGATAAAATTATGGCTGCATGAAATAAGCATATTCCTGAAGGATTGGCCAGAGAAATCCCCCTCTGCCCATTGCTGGATAAGTTTCTGATACTTGCGCTTTTGAAGGAGTGTGTCTATTCTTCCCGTTCAATCAAATCTATCCCCAAGCACAGCAACATGATAGCCCTTCTTTTAATCAGGGGCTTTTCCTAAACTCTGGACAGTGATTTAAGGTATTAAAGATAGGTTGCCAGGCAACGAAACAAGGGTTGTCGCATATTTTTACTTTTTTCGGTAATGAAACATTTATAATACATTAAAATCTGGTTAATTGGGCATAATAAAATCGTGAGTCATGACGTAACGTTATGTAAACATATTTGGTCCAATTTGGAGCTCTGTTTGGTATTGTTATGCAGTTAACTATTGGTTGTTAATCGGACTATTGACCAGTCATAATTTAGAACAAGAATTTGCCTCCTTTACAGCAGTGAATAGTGGGATTAGCTCTAATCAAACGAAACACTGCGAGGAGTATGGAAATAAGGTGACATCACAACTCTTAAAAAAACACTATAAACCACCACAGAATTCTGTTACGGAACGATTTAAGTTTAATAACTCAGTACAAGAGCAAGGTCAGTCAATTGTAAATTTTGCTAGGGAATTGCATCATCTTGCAATGTAATTGTGAATTAACTGCTGATAATTTACAACTAAGTTTGGGGGACAAAATAAATTGCTGGCTGATGAGAAAACTTTTTGTGAGTGTGTTACATTCGTCCAGTCTGAAGAAGATGCAGCACAGAACCTTAAAACAAGGGGATTCTGTAGGTACAAATTTAAACAAAGTTTATTCAGAAATTATACGGAAGTTCCTACACAGCATACGGCTCAACAGACACCTTACAGCATACATTCTAGGCACAAAGCATCTAATCCAAGATAGGTTGCCAGGCAATGAAACATACGCCCACAGCAACTAAATCGTCCGGGCAGTCAACAAGAGTTGTCACATATTTTTACTTTTTTCGGTAATGAAACATTTATAATATACTATTCAAAAAAAGTAGGGGATATTTGATTTTGGGGGCATAATACTAAAATATGCAAATGACTACGAAAAAAGTCACTATAGAACCTAACAGAAGAAACATTTCCACTTACATGTGACGCCCAAACGCACCAATAGCTACCGCATGGAATGCAGGTGATGCTTGGGATCATCATGGGGGTTCAACCCAAGATTTGCACGACTCTGACTTTGAATGTTACAGTCATTGTGGCATTGAATTCCAGGGTGGAAACATCAGTTTAATTGTTTTAGTGACCAGAAAACAAATTTTGATATGCGTCGGCTTACCCAAAATGAAAGGTTACGTGCCCTTGGCATGCTACAGATCGGCACAACACTGGCGGTTGTGGCGCGGACGATGAATGTTTCTCAGTCTGTCTGTCATAAGCAGGCTATGGTCCAGATACCGTGATACACAATCTGTACAGGACAGACCACGCTCAGGTCGACCAAGGGCGACAACTCAAGCCCAGGATCGATTTATCCGTACCTTGGCCTTGAGAAATCGTGTCATCACAGCAAATCAGATCAGCGCTCGTCTTCAAACAGACACTGGTGTGAGAGTGAGTGGCCAGACGATTCGGAATCGACTGCATAGGGGTCACCTTCGCGCCCGACGTCCTCGCGTGATCCCTTGTTTGAGAGATCATCACATTCAGGCAAGACGTCGTTGGTGTAGGAGGGTGTGGCGTTGTCGAAACGAGCGCTTCCAAGACGTTAACGTCATCAGACATGATCGATTTGGGGGTGGTTCTGTTATGGTGTGGGGAGGCATCACTGTTGCTGGAAGAACGGCTTTACATGTTGTTGCAGGGCGTGTTACAGGCCAGTACTACCGGGACAACATCTTGGCAGTCCATGTTGTGCCGTTCGCACGACGTCATGGCCGCCGTTTCATCTTCCAGGATGACAACGCAAGATGTCACAGGGCCAGGATCGTTACAGGTTACCTCCAACAACAGAACATCACCACATTACCTTGGCCAGCACCGAGTCCCGACCTCTCCCCCATCGAGCATGTCTGGGACATGCTTGGACAGAGGTTACGTCAACGTCAACAACGTCCTGCCAATGTCCAAGAACTTGCTGCTGCGTTGCAACAGGAATGGGACAATCTGGACCAAAATGACCTTAGACGTCTCATTAGGAGTATGCCACGTCGGATCAATGCTTGTTTGGCAAACAGAGGAGGATTTACCCGTTACTGACTTGGTTGTGATGCTGTGGTAACTTTGCTGTTTGACCCCGGGTATCATTTTACCCTTATAATGGTCAGTCTGTGCCTTACTTAGTCTAACGATCATTTGGAATAAATCGATGAATGTGAACTTCATTTCATTTTGTCATTTGTTTCTTCGTCAGTTTCATTAGGTGACTTTAATAACACTTAAAAATCAAATATCCCCTACTTTTTTTGAATAGTATACATTAAAATCTGATCAAGAGTAACAACTCATTAAGTAATTCTCAGAAACCATTAGAATTTGGTTTTTATAAAGTTCGGCCCCATGCTAACGTTTAGTATATGGAACTTCTAACATCATGGATTTGGCTGTTCAAGTCATAAAAATTAATTGAAAATCAATATACACGTACTTGTTCATCTCAAGACCTTAAACTCTGTGTATCCATCGGATGATAACTTTAGCTTCTAGAGCGTCACAAGATCAAAATTGATCAATGGCCATAACTTTGGCAGTAATTATCGGAAATCATTGAAAATCAAATTGATTCTTCGTCTCATGACCTCAAACACTATGTATAACTTTAAAGTCAATCAGATATTAACTTTAGCATCAAGAGAATTTACAAGATTTTTTGAAGTGATCAAGGGCCATAACTCTGGCAGTAATTATCGAAAATCGCTGAAAATGAATAGACTTCTTCGTCTCATGACCTTAAACACTGTGTATAAATTTAAAGTCAATCGGATAATAACTTTAGCCTCTATAGAGCGCCCACAAGATTTTTCAAAGTGATCAAGGGCCATAACTCTGGCAGTAATTATCGGAAATCGCTGAAAATCAATAGGCTTCTTCTTCTCATGACCTTAAACACTGTGTATAAATTTACAGTCAATCAGATATTAACTTTGGATTCTAAAGCGTCCACAAGATTTTTTGAAGTGATCAAGGGCCATAACTCTGGCAGTAACTATCGGAAATTGTTGAAAATCAATAGGCCTCTTCGTCTCATGACCTTAAACACTGTGTATAAATTTAAAGTCAATCGGATAGTAACTTTGACCTTTAGAGCGTCCACAAGATTTTTTCAAGTGATCAAGGGCCATAACTCTGACATTAATTATTGGAAATCACTGAAAATAAATAGGCTTCTTCATCTCATGACCTTAAACACTGTATAAAATTTAAAGTCAATCGGATATTAACTTTGACCTCTAAGAGCTTCCACAAGATTTTTTGAAGTGATCAAGGGTCATAACTCTGGCAGTAATTATCAGAAATTGCTGAAAATCAATAGGCCTCTTTTTCTCATGACCTTAAGCAATGTGTATAAATCTAAAGTCAATCGGATATTAACTTTGACCTCTAGAGCGTCCACAATATTTTTTGAAGTGATCAAGGGCAATAACTCTGGCAGTAATTATTGGAAATCGCTGAAAATCAATAGGCTTCTTCGTCTCATGACCTTAAACACTGTGTATAAATTTAAAGTCAATCGAATATTACCTTTAGCCTCTAGGGCGTCCACAATCCGGACCGACAGGGGCGACGACAATATACCACCACATTTCAATGTGGGCGTATAAAAATGTGATCGGTGTGGATTATCAAACCATTCAAGAGAAGATTGTATTAATGATAATTAATAGCATTACCATATCCACCCTCAGTGCTGCGTGACACCCAGTCAGTGTACTGACTCGTGTCCTCCTACACTCCTTGTGAACAGAGAGCCAAGAAAAAATAACTGATATGAAACCTATTTTAACCACAATATACGGTACCTTACTCTCTAAATATAAACGAATAAAGATTTCCTTAACTTCTGCAGAACAGGTAGCCTACATGTAGTTTATGTGCACATGATTATAAAACATACAGATGTTCGTTCAGTGGAAATATGTTAAGTTTACGCCATTTTGTTTTGCTTTGAGAAATAACAACACTTAACTGTTACCTATAAAAGCTAGAGGAAAAGCTAGAGGAAAAGCAGTTGAAACACTCTTGAATTCTTAAGAGTGAAATCACAATGAAACACAGTGAAAAATCAATGTGGATTCCTAGAGAATTAATTATACATGTACTTTCACAGATTGTTTTTCACCTTTGGTACATGTACATGTAAGTGATTTTCACTTCTATTATAAGATTAATTAATACATAACCATGAATATAAACACTGGTAGTGATCGCTGACATTATATCCAAATGTGTGACATCATAGTGCACTACGTAAAACGTCATATAGTCCAAGTTCACTTATGCGTGAACGATTTATAAGGATCAAAATTACGTGCAGGAAGTCGAAGAACGAAAAATCAAATTATGTGGGTGGCCTAAAGCCTGACATACATCAACAGTTGCAAGTTGAAACTGGACACATGTACATGTAGAACACCTATATTTCAATATAAATTTTTTTTTACAAGAATAAAACTAGATGTAGCTCTACAAAAATTAATTTAAAAAAAGACATACCTTGATATGTTAGTATACTGAAGACACAGATAAATACACCACAATAATATGGTAAATATATTATGTGTTTGTAGGCCATTACTCCACATTACTAGCTACAAATTTCTAGTAAAACACACAAATAAATACTCCACATTAATAAACCTAAAAATATAAAAAAAAAATAGTCAAGTTAATCTTTAATATAGTAATATACTCTTCAAAAAAAGTAGGGGATATTGAAATGCAAATACCTATGCAGGTTGCAATATGATAAATAGTCATGGACATTTGACATGCTTTGAAAGTATGTTCACAGATGAAGAACTTATCGCCCCAACAGAATCACTGAGCTGCATGTGCGACACGCAATAGCGCCATACGCGTGGGAGGGGTTCATTGTCAAATTTGACACTTCAAGGAAGAGTTGATGAAAACTGCCGCATACTGGTTTATCTATCCATGTTTGCTTTCTTATTGGTTCTTGCATAAGATTTACTGTTTAGCGTATCTTTGCTTTAGTGTGTTACGTTTAATTTGATCGGGAGAGGTGTTCGTCAACATCAACAGACAACACTGCAAGAATTGACCGTGGCACTGCAAGAGGAGTGGGTCAGATTGCCCCAAATCGTGATTGGTTGGTTGATTTGGAGCATGCCACAACGAATTGCTGAATGTCAAGAGCAATTACTCATTATTAAGACAAAAATCAAAACCGTCCATTCTCACTTTTGACGGTGTATCTCTTTGCGAGTGAATTGGGGCCGTAGGATAAGCCGCCCATATGAACTGTTTATGTTCATGTGTAGGCAATTCGCTTGCTATTAACATACACTGGTTACCTTAAGTTGTGCATTTCCGCAGTTTTGTATTGTTTCTGAATATCCCCTACGTTTTTTGAAGAGTATATAACTGCTTCCCACTCCTTCCCCTTGTCCATATGTATTGTAAGCAACCATAGTAGCTACATGTAAATGTGAGTCATCAGAATGTTAAACCCTTAACAAGCTTTATTACCATACTATACATGTACAACCATAACATAATAACAGAACAAATCGCATTCGCAACTACGAATAGGCATGTAGATATAAATTATGTACAGGTAAATCAACAGTAAACGATATATTAAACTTTTCTTATTTTTAGGTACATATAAGTAAAATTAGTTAGGGTTTCACACTGCATATAGCTTGTGTGAAACACTATTGTTTTTGTTCGGATTATTATTAAGCTTTCATATTTCATATGAAAGCTTATTGTTTCTGTTAAGACTATTATTATTTTTTTTTTTGTGTGTGTTTTCTGCAAATCGGATTTCTTAGAATCTAACCATAGGATGTTTCTGAAACTTTGACCTATCCCCCCCCCCCCCAAAAATGGGTGGTGAATATTGTTTAAATATGTTTTCAAGACATTTTACGAATTCGAAATCACTGAATTTTATGAACGAAAAAAACTAACAATGCAGTCGTTACTTTGTTGTTTATTGACCTATTTTACTACCGGTAGTTCTTTTTTCTTTAAGTACCTTGACGAAAGTCATTTTCACCTGCAATTTCAGATTTTCGAATTTTGAAAATTCTTCGCTGTGATTTCGTTCTGGAAGTTAAGACCAATTTGACAACTTCCTTAATAGTTGCACAATTTTCATGAAATTTGGAATGTAAGTAGATCATACCGATGCGACTTGAAAGATGTCATTAGAAACTTTATAACTTATCTCCATTTGGAGAAATTAAGGATCATAGTTTTCAAAAAAATCGATGAAATATAGGTCAGATCATCATGAATTATTTTTTCTGTACTAGCTATGGCACTACTGATTAGTACACAAAAAATTGGAGTTTGTAGCTCAATCCGGAAGTGCCACCATCTTGAAATATGAAATATCCCTATGGCTTTTTTGATATTTTACTTACAGACAGGGGAGTTATATTTTCTGAATCCTTGAAGGAAAGCCTAAAAAACGTTCAGAGCAGAATTTTGATTTAGGTCAACTGATAGTCACCATTTTGAATTGAATATGAAAAATAGTAAAAAAATCTACATTAACGGGCATGTAAATAAACAGAATATACAGTAGTTTGTTGAATTCGTTTCCTATTTCTGAAAGTAATACATTTCAGGATAGCCTGGCTCATGGTCGAATTTTTGGTATTTGAATATTTAAAAATTTTGAATTTCACCTTTGACGTTTTCCGTGCCGACAAAGTTATTTTCGAGTGAAGAATTCTGATTAACAGCTTGAAAATAATCAAAATAAGCCGCGGTTTTGTGATTTCATCTCATATTTGGAGATATTACATTGTAATACACTTCTGGTTAGCCTCCTTTCAAGAATGGGTGGTGGCTTTGGAATCAATAGATTTTCAAAACGTTTTACGAATCCAAAATCACCGAAATTTAATGATGAAAAAATTGATCTACATAGCTGTAACTTTGTGACTTTTTGATCTTTTTTACTAATTCTTTTTTCTTTGAGTACCTTAAAACATTTACCTTAAATCTGCTATCCGATTTTCGAAAATCAAATATTATGTCATTGACATCTCATCCCGGAGGTAAATCGAACATGACAACTTTCTTGAATATTAGTACAATTTTCATAAAATTAGGAATGCAAGTACATGTAGATCTGATTGATCCAACTTCAACGATGTCATTAGAAATTTTCTAAGTTATCTTCCCTTGGAAAAAATAAGGATCAAACTTTTCAAATTTTTTTTCGAAATATACATGTAGGTCCGATTGCCCTGGAAATTTTTTTCTATACAAGATAAGAAATTACTAATGCGTACACAAAATATGAAGTCTATCGATTGATCCAGAAGTGCCACCATCTTGGAACATGAAAAATCCCTGAGGCTTTTGCGATATTATACTCACAGACATGGGAGTGACATTTTCTGAATCCTTGAAGGAATGCATAAAAAACGTTCAGAACAGAATTTTGAATATGAAAAACAGTAAAAAATCCACAACGGATGTCAAAACCAGCGGCTGCCAGGCAGGATACGCCCACATTTTCGAGAGATGGATAGAGAACAAGCTAAAAAGGAAGTGATTTTTCCTACAATCAAGGGCCATAATTCAGAAAATTACAATTCGATATGCGCAAATATCGAAAGGAACCGAAATCTTTGGGTTATAAACTTACATTTCAAGTTTCAACAAAATCGGATAAAAATTGTGACCTCTATAGGGTCCACACCCTTGATAAACCATATTTTTACGCTACATGTATTTTCACAAAATTCGAAGGTGTAATGGTGATATAATAATACGATTTTTTAAATCGGATAAAAATTATGACCTCTATAGGGTCCACAAGCTAAAAACATGTTTTTTCGTACAATCCGGGCCATAATTCAGAAAGTTACGGTCCGATATGCGTGAATATCCATAGAAACCAAGATCTTTGGGTTATAAACTTACATTTCAAGTTTCAACAAAATCGGATAAAAATTGTGACCTCTATAGGTTCCACAACCTTGATATACCATATTTTTACGCAATCTGAGAACGAAGGGCGGCCATTTTGTCTGTCAGTTTTGGGCCGATTTTCACGAAATTCGAACTCAACCATCCTTAGGGTGTAACGGTGATATAACAATATGTTTTTTTAAATCAGATAAAAATTATGACCTCTATAGGGCCCACAAGCTAAAAACGCGATTTTTCGTACAATCAGGGGCCATAATTCAGGAAGTTACGGTCCAATATACGCGAATATCAAAAGGAACCAAGATCTTTGGGTTATAAACTTACATTTCAAGTTTCAACAAAATCGGACCAAGTTGTGACCTCTATAGGGTCCACAACCTTGATATACCATATTTTTACGCTATTTGAGAACGAAGGGCGGCCATTTTGTCTGTCAGTTTTGGGCCAATTTTCACGAAATTCAAACTCAGTCAACATTAGGGTGTAACGGTGATATAATAATACGGTTTTTTAAATCGGATAAAAATTATGACATCTACATGTATAGGGTCCACAAGCTAAAAACGTGATTTTTCGTACAATCAGGTGCCATAATTCAGGAAGTTACGTTCTGATATGCGCGATATTGAAAGGAACCAAGATCTTTGGGTTATAAGCATACATTTCAAGTTTGAACCAAATCGGATAAAAATTGTGGCCTCTTAGGCTCTACAGTGTTCACAAGCTAAAAACGTGATTTTTCATACAATCAGGGGCCATAATCCATGAAGTTACAGTCCGATAGATGCCAATATCGAAAGGAACCGAGATAGACCTATATTTCAAGTTTCATTGAAATCAGATAAAAACTGTGACCTGAAGACTGTTCACAAACAATAGTGGACGGACGGACGGACGGGGGCGACAACAATATATGTCCAAATGAAAATGTGGGCGTATAATAAACACTAGGCCGTAGCATGTTCAATGCATCTCCTATTTCTGAAATTAATACATTTCAGGATAGTCGGGATCAGGGTCAAATTTTTGGTGTTTGAAAATTTCAAAATTTCGAATTTCGCCTATGCCGTTTTACATGTACATGCCGACAAAGTTGTTTACAGGACAATTTACAGCTGAGGTCAATCTGATTCAAAAAATATTAGTTCCGTTCAAAGTTATTCATTTATTTTTTCGATATTTTCCTGCCTTTTTTTAGTTCTTTACCACCATTTTCATTTCATTTTCTCATCCGTCCCATTTTTTAACGGCTTGATCCATTTTTCTGAAATTTTTGAAACAGTTTGTTATTCCGATTACAGCAGTACAAATCTCAGTTATTTCCCTTTAGTTTTCAGATTATTTTTTTGCCCGGGTGCAATGTTTCTCACTATGTTTAGCCTTGTAACTTCGCGAGATTTTCACCGATTTTGATAATTATTTGTTCTTGTTCTTTTCTCTTTTAAGATACTTGATATAATCCATGTCACATGACGATGAATATGAAAGCTTTCATATCTGCATGGGACAGTAGCATATCTAGTTCTTATTTTTTTTTTCACCCATTTTGATCATACATGTAGTATCTCAGAAACTACTTGTCGATTGATCTAATTTCTTTGGTTTTCCTGGGAAAAATTGTGTGACTTGGAGATAAAAGCTATTTTGAACGTTTTGTGACAATGCGAAATGTCCGGAATCACCAAGGTTGATGGGTTTTTTAAAAATTGCCGTAATAT